AGGCCTCCAACGAATGCATCTTTTCTCCATCCCATTGCAACTCTCCAGTTAACTCCATGGCTGTGGTAATTGTTCTTACTGTCTGGATATTGGACACCACAACACCTCTAGATGGGAAGTTTAACTCATAATGAAACAAATTCTCATACATAATGGGCAACCAATGAATAATGATTTAATCATCAATGTTTGGATGCTCAGGGCTGACATACACACAGTCCAAAGCTGAGGTACTGCACAATTTATACTTGGTTTAGGGTAATGACACTTGAAATTAGCACTCTCCTTGCCAGTGTATGCCTCAGTTCAGAGCTGTGCTACCCAGTGATGCTTTCTTCTCCCAATGGCATGGACCTGGAGGGGCTGACTTTTTCTAAATGATGGAAAGACCCTATTAAGTCAGCAGTCCTATGAGTTACTCAAATGCATGACATTTGACTGCACATTAGCCTCAGAAATGCATCTGCTCCAGCAGTCTCAAACTAGATGCTCTAAATTCTATGTGATGGGAGCCAGAACTATTCCAAAAGTAAGGCAAATTGGACTGACAGTTCCCTGACACAGGAATGTTCCATCATCTGGCTTCCACCCACCCTCCCCACCCTTTCTGTTTTTAAGGACTGACATAGAGCCTCTTTCAAAGAAATGGGAGATTTTTATTTGTGACCAAATCTCTTATACTCAGTATAAAAGGTATCTGGGCTTCTCAGCTTAGACATCTTTTCCTTCAGGAAGAATTCCCTGATCCTCCTCATTTGGGATCAAATGTTTTTGCTTTTGTTTTCTGGTTCCTATAGGAATAACCTTTATTTCCCATTCTGTAGCATCTAATACTGTACTGTAGCTGATTCTATTCATTTCCACTTAACCAATTATATTACACACTATTCTCTCTTGAAAGTTTAGCACAATGCCAGTATATGATAGAAAAAAATCATCAATAGAATATCCTTTTTGGAGATCAAGTCAGTGTTCTCCTCTTTGCAAAAGCAGAGACAGAAAGGAACAGATCTTCATCCCATTAACAGTCTCCTGACCGCCCTTAGACAGATGTGTCCTACTAAGCCCACAAAACAGTGGAGACAGGAAAGAAAATAGTTGAAAAGAAATTTTAAGTGAAAAGAAGAAAAAGAAGCAGGAGAAAAGAGAACCCATTGTTGTCTCCCAGGCTCTGTACAAAGTCACCTTAAACCACCCTATGAAGTGGCTATTGTTATCTGCGTTTTCCAGATGGGAAAATAAAAACTAGAGATGTAAAGGAACGTGCGTAAGAGCACAGACACAGCAAGGTGACGTCTCCCTCCTATCTGTCTGCCTTCCATCCTCTGCTCCAGCTCCCAGATTGGGTGGCCTCAGTTCCATCATTCCCAAGCCACTTGCAATCACAAGTGACTCCCCCATCAGGGAAGCTATTCAAGACAGTGTCCAATGTGATCTGGGTCCAAATTTCCATATAGGCTTTTCTTAATCATCTTCATCTTAATCCCACGAAAGTTTCTTTATCTCCATGAAGCTCAGTGGTTTCATCACTAAAGGAGGAATAGTTACTTCTCCAAGTACATGAAAGACAAGTGTGTTTCTAAAAGAGAAAAGGACAGATACCTAACAAATAACTATGTTCAGATTTCTGCTATGTTTTGGATCATAAATGTGCCCCAAGGGCCCACGGGTTAAAGGCTTGGTCCTCAGGGTGTATTATTGGGAGGTGGTACAAACAGGAGGAGGAGGGGCATGGTGGAAGGTCTTAAGGTCATCAGAGTGTGCCCTTGAAGGGGGTTGTGAGAACCTGGTTCCCTCCTCTCTTTCTCTCTCTCTTAACTCCCAGACCTGTGACATAAGTAATTTTGCTCTACTATGCTCCCACTGTGATATACTATCTCACTACAGGTTCAAAAGAACAGGGCCAGCTGCTCATGGGCTAGAAGCCCTATCACTGCAAGCCACTACAAACATTTTCTCTGTTATATAAGTTTGTTATCTCAGGCATTTTGTTATAGTAACAGAAAGATGAGTAGCACAATTTCTTACACACATTCACACACAGAGAGACACACCAGTCACCCCCATAGAAACAAGAAGCAGTTTCCACTCAAAGTTTAGTGTATATAGAAGAGTTAAAAAAAAAGTGGATGCCTGCCACTTTTTATTTACTTATAGAAAAAGTAAAGGAGAATGATTGTTTTCCTGATATTCAGCACTATCTGGGGGCAAATGTCCCAAGAAGAAAGTTTTTTTTGTCAATTCTCTTTCTATTCCCCTTGCCCCCACTCCAATGCCAGTTGGGGACTCATCTTATGTCTCATTTCCAATAATCTTGTTCTCCACAAACTGCCATAATCCCAGATAATTTGTAACTTGGAGTTTTTAAAATAGTAATGCCTCATCCTGCAGCAATTCAAGGCGGCTCTTGTCTCTTTAAAGGAATCTTAGTTTATACTCCATCCGCCAGGAAAACAGCAGTCATTTGGCTGAACTTGGATAAAACTGATGGCAAATGTGGCTCTAGTACATCACTGCAGAGACTGGCAACTGAAAATAAGCAAAAGACCTTTTACTAGGGGACCCTGGGAAATATTTTAGATCCAAAGGGAGAACGCCCCAAGGGGTCTTTCTTCACAGGCTGGGGGCTCTCCCTAGTACCCCTTAAATCACATCAGTTTGCTCAGTGCATTCGTAAGGCTGACCCTGGCTGAGTCTGAAAAGCATGGGGAGGCCCCAAGCGTCTTCTGAAATCTTCAGCTGGACCGTTAACAACAGGAGAAGGGCCAAAGAGCTCCTCCCATCAATCCTGAAGCCCGGGACCCATCCAAAACTGCTCCAGGAATCCTGATAGGTTCCAAGGAATCCTGCCCCGGGAATTACTAAGAGGCCTCACCATTGTGGCTCCTCCTTTCAAAGGGACCTACAGGAGGTCAGGGCTACAGTGGAGGTCCAGGTCCATTCTGGCTCAAGCCTCCTCAAGCACAACGATGGCTGCCCACTGATATGGAGAGACTAAAATATATCCTATGCATCATGGATGAAGCCTGAGAATATCTTGCTAGTCAAAAGAATCAGTCACAGAGAACCACATACGGTACAATCCATTCCTATGAAAACCACAGAGCCAGGGTGGCATATTAAGAAGAAATGTAGAGTCACTGCTTACTCCACAGTTACAGGCATATAGGTATATAATCCTGTGTTAGTTCTACTGTAGGTATATAATTCTGCAAACAGGTATTTCTTTGGGGGTACTAAAGTGTTCTTAAATTATGGTGATAGTTGCACAATATACTAATATAGTTGAAGATACTAAAAACCATTGCATCATTGCATTGTATAATTTAATGGGGCAAATTGTTAGGTATGGGAATTATTTCTCAATAAAGATTTTTTTTTTAACAAAACTATCCCAAAATCTATCTTACAACAAGCAAGTCACTGGATCCATGTTCAGAGGTGATTCATCCAAATTGCTCTTTTGAACAAGAACAACAAAAAAATCCAAATTCCATTCATTCATTCATTCATTCTAAATTGCCCAGCAAGCTCTCTGCGTGCAGCACTGAACTACTTGTTAGCAATCAAACACAATCTCCTTGTTGCAAGCAGCTTAAGCCTGTTCCCTGGACTAAACTGGCAACTGGCCTCTTGACCACATGCTGCAAATGCAAAGTGCCCTCCTGGCCCTCTGTCTATGAGGGGGTCCTATGCTTCTATCAAGGGGAATCAGGAAAACTCGCTTTCATGTCTGCTCTCCATTGAGCCACCATATTCCCCGCTTTTCCACCCCACCCCTACCCCTTTAGCTGCCGCCAGCAGGGGACTCTCCAAAATGTACAGAAGGGAGTCCAAAACTTTCAGAAGGAATGGAACTGTCAACAGCAACCCCCAGAAACAATGTTCAGGGAAAATCAGGCCCCTGTGAGAGTTACACACAAGCTTCATTTGGACCCTTTCCCTAAGGCCAGGTCCAAAGCCAGCGTGGATCTTAGCTGAGCAACCCTTGGCTTTTGCGACATTGGACATGCTTCCCCCAGAATTCAGCGCCTGTAGTCTCAAATTTGCAGGAGGCCTCCAGGTCCTGGCCGGTGACTAAGTTTACTCTAAGGACACACACCGCTGCTCTTGAGCTAGCTGTTAGCCTGTTCTGCCTGTGCTGTGCGCACTGTGAGCCAAAGTCCGGGTTCTCCACCCAGGTGCTGCATACTAGAGGACATAAAGTTGGGAGGGATCCAGAGGAATGCAAGAAAAGAAGTGAGGGAAGAAGAAGCTAGGCAAAAGGGGTCCTCCAACATCAGAGCACGGAAGTGCACTTCAGCTCAAAGCCACAACCTCCTTGATTCAGACACCAAAGCAAAGCATACAGTGTCCAGGTTTCCTGCAGCAGAGACATGGAGGAGCGCATCAGCGCCACCATTCTCCATCATTAAGCTCTGCCTGGTTGCTCCCCTTTGCTTCCAGTATCTGGTCCTTGGCTACCCAAATCTGTGACAATACAGTGGATGGTTGCGTGAGTGTTGCCTCCCATGATCTCCATGGGCTGCTCTCCCAAACTACACCAAATACAGACTAAATAAGAACAGTGTGTTCACTATGCACACACAACTCTTCAAGACAAATCACTAAGCCCCTTGTCCGCTACATAGTCGCCTTTACTAAACCCCTTCTACATACTGGAGACCCCACCTTCCCGCAGCCAAATCCGGCTTCTTGAGCCGCGCGCTCCCTGCGCGCAAGCACAGGGAGAAGCACCCAGGAGCAACAGTATCTCCACTCTCACCGCACACTCATCTCGCAGAGCCACTCGCTGCCCAGAGAGCCTGGAGAAGAGGTATCTGGGTGCATGGTCCTGTCCCACCACAAGTATCCCCACGCCATCCTGGGAGCGCGCGCGTTCAGACAAGGTCCAGGGAATTGCACTGCGTCTGCAGGTGGCTCGCTCTCTCCACTTTTCCTTTCTCGAGAGGAGTCTTTTCAAAGCCAAGCCAAAGAAGAGCAGAGAAAGACGAACTGACCTGTGCAAGGCAAGCTTCCAGCCCAGGCTGGAAACCTCTTGGTGACTAAGGAAGATCCGCCTGGAGTTGGTTCCCAGCGGCGCGCCGCAACGCACGGTTCCTTGTTCGCTTCCCTCTCCTTTTATTTTATTTTTTTCTTTTTAAAATTTTTTTCTATTAGCCTTTCTCCCTCTTCTTGTCCCTCCCCCTCTCGCGCTCCCACTCTCCGCCGCCCCGAGGTGCCTCCGCCTCTGCAGCGCTTCCCTCCCGCTGTGCGCCCAGGATCAGATAAGAGAAAAAGGAAGGGCTACGGGCAGCCAATTATAAAGCGGACGGTGGCCTTGGGGGCGGGAGGTGAGGAGGTGGAAGGCAGGTCCAAGCCCCTAGCGCCCCCCACTTTCTCTCCTCCTCCTCTCACGCATCCCCGCCCCCACAAGAGAAGCAGAGGAGCCCGGCCCCCGCCACACACCCTCTCCCCTTAAGACGTGGTACGCACTGCAGCGGTGTGTAGTGCACCGGGAGCGAGCCACTCTCTCCCAGAGCCTGGGACCGAGGCTCAGGCAAATCTCCTAAAATAGCCCCCCCTGAGCTCTACGGAAGATCTCTGTGTCCTCCTGTTTCCAGTCATTCTGGGTTCACTTCTCCATCCCCAAAGACCCGCCTTTCTTTCCTTCGCCTGAAAAGACTGGGCTCCTATAACGGCCCCCTTAGGTCTTTCCTCTCCTTCCCAACTAGTCCAAGTGGAATATAAATGCCAAGGCAACGATTGTCAAACTTTAACGTACAGGAGAATCATGTGGGGGTATTAAATTGGCCATTTTTGTTGGCAATGAAAAGACAGGTTCGTGTGGTTAGACCATGCGCAGAGATTCTGGTTGACAGGTCTGTCCTGGGACCAGGGACTGCATTTATCAAACACTGGTTCTGATCCATGCGGATCATTCTTTGTGAGGTTCTACCCTGAGACTTGAATATCATCAACTCCAGGAGCTCCAAAGCCCCTCGCTGGTTCCCTGGGGAATCAGGCCTACGCTCTCGCCCTCTGGGCCCTCTTAAAAAGTCATCTTTCCCATTTTTTGAACCCAACTTAACAAACCCCACGCGTCCAATTCTTTACACTATAA